AAGAAAATTCATTATGGTTGATGTCTTTGGGCAGGGGATTGTATAGAGTAGACCTCAAACCATCAAAGCGTCTCTTTTTTAAAGGGACAGGTTTCGCATTGGAAGATGAGGAGTGGGTAGGTGTAGGAGAAGCAGACGAAGTGTTAGTAGAGGCAGCAGATGTAGAAGATACAGCAGATGGAGAAAAGGCAGCAGATGTAGCTGAGGCAGCAGATGAAGTAGAGGCAGAAGATGTAGTAGAGGCAGCAGATGTAGAAGATACAGCAGATGGAGAAAAGGCAGCAGATGTAGTAGAGGCAGCAGATGAAGTAGAGGCAGAAGAAGAGGCAGTATCTGTCTCTGCCTTAGATGTAACAGATCCACTGGCAGGTGTTTTTATTTTTTTAACAATGATTTGGTCTACCTTTTTGGCATAAAGACCTTTACTTCTTTGTGGAACATGCCATGTCTGTGGCAGCGATGTTTTTGACAATGCAGATGGCACAGTTTTTAAGTCAAGGGGTTGATAGTGTTGTAACAAATACAGTAAACCAATCACGTGATTACATTTGCCCTGGCCAGATTCACAATTACATGAAGTCTGCTCAATGAGAGTTGAATCGGTTGTATTGATCCAGATCTGAAAAATATCATTGGTAGACTATTTTTATTATTGTTTTATGTGGTAATATCCGCTCAGTGTAATAGCACTTTTTTCTTATGATGATTAATTGGCCTTGTTCAATTATAACCTTGAAAATAATTATGCAGGAACCCAGTTTTCTTTTCTAAGCCTTGAGCATATTAAAGGTTTCTTCACTAAATTGATTGTTCTTCAGACTATTGATTCAAAGGTGTGGGTTTTCAATAAATGAGAATTTTAATTATCTTTCCATCAAAAAGTACGTCTTTTTTCACAGCCACAATTGTTTTAAATGTATCTTAACGAGAAAATATGAAACAATTTATTGAGTACAAAAACACAATTTCCTTTCGGTTTTATTCACCTTCATGTGATAAGGGGTTTCATTCTTTTTTTATTGACTTGAAGCTTCGAGCTCTGCAAACTGCTCCATCAGGTTGAGGAGATACTATAATCATAAAAGTAATTGAATATCCTGCCTGGTATAATCATGATAATATCAATGTATATAATTGATTTACAACAGGTCTATAAATTAAACCCTTGTATACAATTTATATCATTCTTTTTTATTATTTAATGTGTCTGTATGTGTTTACTTTTAGTCTGACTCATGTTACCATAAAATGGTGAGTTATTACACATATACTTCTTTGGATGTATGTGAACATTTATTGGGCGCACAGCAGATCATATGGACACAGTCATATTACTCAAATGTGGAGGGCAATAGAACATTATCTGAGCTCCCTGGTAATGTTTAACACTGAACATGAATGGTACACTATGTACAGTGAAAAATAAAATTGATGGAAAACTGTGAAACGAATGTTTACTTTAGGTGAGTTGCTGCTGGTTCTAAGGCTTATGATGATGAAGGGACTTTTTCACAAGTTCAACACGTTTTGTTTGAGGTTACAACAACTCTGAGTAGGAATTTATGTTTCGATAGGTGCATGCACAAAACAGAAGAAAGTATTATTTCAGCCAGAGACCAACAAATATGATATCTGCTACAGCCTAACAATAGTTATGTGACATATGAGATAGTCATTTATATCATACAGTGATCAACACAGCAATATATATTTTTTATCTTTTAAATTTCAATTTTACACATATTGTTGTTACTCATTTAATGTTCAAAACAACACCCAATATTTTTTAATGATTTTTCATTGCTACTACAGTACGAAGCTATTCACCACGTTTTTTTGTTTTGGAAAATATTTCTACTTCAGGTGGAATGTAAACAATGAAAAAAATCCGATTATTCATTTCAAAAACTGTTCTTATTTGGACTCATATCAATAAGCAAACAAATCGAAACAACTTCACGGCCAAATTAAAGAGTTGTTTATAGTTTACTAAACAATGTGATGTAATGATTATCCCATCAACAATACAAGGTGTCACATGTTTTATAAAAACCGCAAGATGTGTGTTTTTGGAGAACTTTGATAAGAAAATATTTAACGGAAAAATCACTTCCGGGTTGCCGACACAACCAAGGCCCCACCTTCAACATCGAATATGTATCCCTCGCAAAAATTGCCATAGGCTCTTGTCAATACTTTTCTGGGGACTTTTGCAATTTGGTTTACCCAAGTTTCAACAAAACCGGGTCTTATGACCGGGACACAGTTTAATCTTTTGGCCCACACAGTCTTCGCGCTCAAATTCGTGGAAGCCATTTCGATACTGTTTCCTTGACGCGGAAGCATCGAATGCTCTCCAAGCCTCGTTTTCGATCCAAGATGGCGAAAGTGTGAACAAGGTCAATACAGAATCGTTGTTTCCGATCATTTGGACACTTTAATCTTGAACTTACTTTGGTTTTTGCATACAGTGGATTGTGTGACTGCGTGTCCCTGATCGACTGCATTCTACAGCAACCTATTCACGTACTTCAGTACGTATCCGACACATTCTGATGTTCATGTTTGAATGATTAGCCCTCACTCTATGAAGATCAAACTCCAATGAATTCGCACAAAGGGAAAGTCACGTTTGAGTTCTTGACGAATTAAGCAGATCCTTTATGAAAATTGGCATTCTCTTGTGTCAAGGTGTGTATGAACAGATTTGACGTACGAACTTGGAACTCGAACCATCTTCGATTATGAAGTGTGGTTTATCCCTATTCTCTCATGATAAATACTAGTGTCACCCGCCTTGGTATTGCTGGAATATTACTAAAAGCGGCGTAAAACCGTATGGATACATATACTGGGCCCATTCGTTATTATAGCTTCCTTCTGAGCCCGATTCGAACGACACGAAGTTAAATATAGACATCCAAACAACTTGCTCACCCTTTTCACGGCTACTTTGCCTTTTGCTCCCAATGTAAACTGTTTCGGTGGACAATCGAGACTGTTTATTCCCTGGCTGTTAACGTTATATTTATTGTTATGAGCGAGAAAATATATGTGCGAAGTTAGTGATGTGAGCAATGAAGACGGCGACGTCACTTCCGAAAAGATCCCGCTACCTCAGGCTTGTCGTAACCGCCGCCTAAACTGAGCATGGGGCGGGAATGTTCTGTGACTAAAAACGCGTGAGACGTTGATAATGCTATCAACCACTGGATCGCCTGGCTCAGACTCGACGATTGACAGGCAGTCGTTATATCTGGATTATGGCAGCTGACAACGACGAACAAACTTATATAATGCCATGGACAATTATACAGAATGTATTTTGTTAATAATACCATAAAGACTTTCATATTCATACTAGCATTTGGCGCATGGGTGGTACTCAGTTGCACGGGATCGGGTGGTCAGACCCGGTGACTTGGTTGATGCATATCATCGTGTCCCAATTGCGCAGATCGTTGCTTATGATGTCAATCACTGGGTTGTCCGGTCCAGATTCGATTATTTACAGACCGCCAGTATTTAGTTGGAATATTGCTGAGTGCCGCGTTTAACAACAAAGAAATAAATACTTTCACTTTCGGTTTAAATACTTCACTCCGGGTTGTGGAAAATACATGTGATATATGCAGAGCAGCTTTAAGACATTAAATACCATGCCTCTAACAGCATTAAGAAGAAAGTTATGCACTTGTTGCTTTGAAATAACTTTTTGGGAATATATGTCTCTTATGCAAGACAGCTTAGCCCTTAACCTCTAGCTTCCTCTACAAGTTAAATGCACTTCCCCTTTAATTACTTTGACCTTACATTATAACCAATCACATGCTTAATTATTTTTTGTCGAAAGCATTGATGCTAGGGTTTACAAACATGTCATTGAAACACAAGCCGTTATTTCCATACACAAAGAGGAAGAACTACCAATAGAATTGTCATGAAAGGTTGACTTCCGAGATGAAATCAATATGCGTGTATGTATTGCGTCTAATTAGAAATCTTCATTCCACCCGTCTTCATATCGCTGAGAACGTGCGTGGGTGGCGTTAATTCACTAAGCAACACGTGACATCTAGTTCCAACTCAATATGCGGGAGATATTATCACTTTATTGAAATCACCGGTGACAACTTTACATGGAGGGTGTGACATTTCTGCTCGGTTACCATACATTATTACATATCCCATGCTTAATTCTTTCTGGTTAAACACACTGAAGCTAGCTTTTACAAACATGTCACCGAAACGAAGGCTGTTATTTCCGTACATAGTGACTGAGTTGTGTTTAACGCCGTTTTTAACAGTATTCCAGTTATATTACGGCGTGTCAGCTTAGCGTGGGAGGAAAGCCCCAAGTGATGCAGGTCCTAGACGTTTACCACTTTGGTGAAACACACGAGCACGGGTATGGTGCTGAAAAACCTAGACACATAATTGGGGCGAACCGGGATTCGAACCCACAACCATAAATTTCTGGCGTGGCCAAGGGACGCAACTCTACACAGCGACTTTCGGCGCCATAGACGACTGGGCCGATCGAGCAAATACCAAACGCCATGTACATTTAATGCTATAAGGAGCACATATTTCACTCCAAGCTAAAATACAACAATATTGGAGCCTTAAAGAAGCAGATTTTGAGAGAATACAAAGTAACCATAGAGAAATACCAGACAAGCGGTCACATACATTAGTTACGCACATAAAATCATCTCACTTAGGGTCCGACCATTTGATTGGGAGAAAAAAATTACCCACAAAAAGCTTGAAAAAAATATCATGTTTTAGAACGTTTAAAAAAATGAATTTGTCAGCCACAACAAATACATTGAAGCAAGACCTTTTTAGCTAAACATATATGTCGGCTCTTAGTTAAATCAATAGAATATCTGGTTCTGAAGCTGTGTCTGAAAACATATCTAGCCTTCATGCAAAACCCCAGCCCTCAAAGAGAATATAAAATACGCCCCCCCACCCACCTCCCCAAATTACTCGTCTTTCATTTAGAAGTGTTCAGTTACAATGTGTATGTCTCAATTAGGATTTGTTCGAGAATTTAAGATAATCACAGTCGATGGCTCTCGTTCATGCAGAAATCGGCACATTGCGATCGCCACACGAGCAAGCCGCTGTCTTTGAGTAAAGGGTAAGGGTTAATTCACTGTTATGTCCATGGACGTAATGGAGAGGTTATCAGTGATTTGAAGGGTATCAGGCTGAATCCCGGGAAGTCTCTCGGGGAAGGCATCAAAGCTGAACCCATCTACGTCAAGCTGGAAAAGATGAGTGACTGTTGTCAGTAACATGTCATCTTCAACACAGGGGCCTGTGTCGAGTATGGACACACCCCAGTGTTAAGCAAACTGGTGTATTGCTTGGTGTGGCGTTGAGCAACACACGCTTACTGACATAGGTCCTGCTCCATCGGTTGCATCCACCAATCACACAAATTTCATTAACACAGTAAGCGTTTGTTGCCCAACTGTTAACTCAGAATCCAGTCTTACACCTAATATATACACCCCACTATCCCATCTTAAACCAAATCTGTGGCCCACTATCCCGTCTTACATCTACCCTGTACACCCCACCATCCCGTCTTACACCTACTCTGGACACCCCACTATCCCATATTACACCTACTCTGTACACCCCACTATCCCGTCTTACATCTACCCTGTACACCCCTCTATCCCGTCTTACACCTAATCTGTACACCCCGCTATCCCGTCTATCACCCAACATGTACACCCCACTATCCCGTCTTACACCCAATATGTACACCCCACTATCCCGTCTTACACCCAATATGTATACCCCACTATCCCGTCTTACACCCAACATATACACCCCACTATCCCGTCTTACACCCAATATGTACACCCCACTATCCCGTCTTACACCCAATATGTACACCCCACTATCCCGTCTTACACCCAACATATACACCCCACTATCCCGTCTTACACACAATATGTACACCCCACTATCCCGTCTCACACCCAATATGTATACCCCACTATCCCGTCTTACATCAACCCTGTACACCCCACTATCCCGTCTTACACCCAACAAGTACACCCCACTATCCCGTCTTACACCCAATATGTACACCCCACTATCCCGTCTTACACCCAACATATACACCCCACTATCCCGTCTTACACCCAATATGTACACCCCTCTATCCCGTCTTACACCCAATATGTATACCCCACTATCCCGTCTTACATCTACCCTGTACACCCCACTATCCCGTCTTACACCCAACATGTACACCCCACTATCCCGTCTTACACCCAATATGTACACCCCACTATCCCGTTTTACACCTAACATGTATACCCAACTCTCCCTTCTTTCGCCTACCCTGTATATCCCCCTATCAAACAGTTTAGTTGGGCAGTGGAATGTCAGTGATTCGATCCCTAAGCCGCGTCATGCTGAAAGACGTTTAAAGATGGGACGCCTTGTTACCCTGTCTGGCGCTCGGCATTCATGAGATAAAACAAGAACCGTCGCATAAGAGCCAATATAATTTGGTTTGGTTGGGCAGCCATATAGCATGGTATCGCAGTGGGCTTAGCAAAATAAAAGCGACATAAATTCGGACTAGTACAAGCAGCCACACATTCGTGCAGGCGTGTTGTTTTTTACGTGAAGAAATCTAACGCGACGTCAAACCCCGTTTCACCGCACCTTCACTATTCAATCTTACACTTACCATATATACTCCACTGTCCAGAGACATCACAACCTCAGACATTTGCCCCGCAATCAGATGCAGCCAAGGCACAGTAATCTGATCACCCCACTGGTCATTTATTTTGGCGTTGAAGACTGTTTGGTTGTGGTACCAAATGTCAATAAAACACAGGAATCGAAATTCTACCACCCACAAGACGTTTGCACCATTTCTCAAGACAATATTAGCTCTGAAACAAAAGTACATTGGACCAATAAGGGACAATGAAGATCACTCAATCAGTGATGTTGAATGATGTTGTTTTATCAATATCCAGCTGCATCGCGACCTGCAATAAGTCTTTAGCAACCAAATAGGTTGTTGTGAGCATGTGCAGCTATCCACGCTCTCGTGGTATGATACCACAAGGTTGTCTAGTTCGCACATAATAACCACTCGTTCGGTTCAGGGACTACACCATGCATGGAATATACTGGGTCCTTTTCGGCACCAGTACCACCATGGGTCAGTTGGTGATGTCGAATAGTTAACAAAATGGTTCCTGTGACTGTTGGATGTGTTCAAAGTACCCTTCAATCGACTGGAATAAACTCACATTCTTAATTGTCTTTCTGAAGGTCACTGGACAATTTTACAGATTAGAAAAATACTTTTTTCAGAATTTACTTTTTGCTGTCCGACCCAAGGTAGTGTTAGGTACGTCTCACAAAGTAGAATGCATGATTTGTCTCACTTAACTCGAGGTTCACATGACAAATCTGTCAGTTTACAAACTTCTATATATATTTATACATCACATCTTTTGTAACGTTTTCAACAATGCTCAAACAGACATAAATGCATGTACACTACCTGTCAGTTACAGTTGGTGTTAAAATGATCTGCAGCTTGAACTTGTCTGATGAACCGCAAGGGAAGACGCCTTTGAAGCCGCTCATCTAGAACATAGTCACAAATATACACAAACGGAAAGAAACAACATCTCTATTGACAGGTTGTACCTCACACGTCATCTCCGACTTACCGGGACCTGCCATCAGACTTTTCCACACACCAATGTGTCGACCTTGGATGTGTCCAATTCCAAGTTTCTCAAACGCGACTTTTCAAAAGTACATCTTCCAATAATCGTACTGGACATAGTCTTGGGAAATTAAATACTTGGAATTCAATTCACGTTCCCTGGTTTCTCTCAAAGTGGTAAAAAAAAGTTGGCCTTGACATAGCTAGGAGGATCTACCAGGAAATGGTAGTCTCCGCCCGCATGACATACGTTGCAACGGAGACAAGGGACACCTGCCCTTTAGGTTGTTAAAACAACAAACACGGGACAATTATGTTGTTTTAAAAGAGCATGTGCATGCATTTGCAATCAAAGGCAGTAGCTACAGAGATGCAATTGATATATTTAGAGAAGCAATATACATGTAGAAAACCAAGTTTCATATGTAAAAGTCACATTCTGACACTGACGAGTACTAGTACTCCAACATACCAGGGTGCGCCACCTGTTCTGTGCACATGCGCCTGTCACATTGCTCCACAGTCCAGTGGCCTGACACACACTAGTGAAGACGTCATTGCACTGTTTGAAGTTCCCTGTGCACGTGTATCTCGTCACAGCTCCCAGGTAATGTCCGTCATACTCTGCCCTGGCACCGGTTACTTTAGGGGGGTCTCCACAGCCTCGGAATTCTAGAAAAGTGAAATGTATCAAGGATTAGTAGTTGGTTTTGTGGACCTATCCCACCTTCCGCAGGTGCCCTATGAGTGAGTGAGTGAGTGAGTGAAAGAGTATGGTTTTACGCCGCTTTTAGCAATATTCCAGCAATATCACGGCGGGGGACACAGGAAATGGGCTTCACACATTGTACCCATGTCGGGAATCGAACCCGGGTCTTCGGCGTGACAAGCAAACGCTTTAACCACTAGGCTACCCGACCGCCCTGGTGCCCTATGAATAGTCATGGGCCTAGTGTTATGCTAATAGATATGCATGACGCCACAATGAGAACGGGGTTATTATGCATGAATGTTAAGAACGTGAAGAATGCGGCCTTTGTTATAATGTCTTAGCCGAGGAATTCTTTAGGAATACCATTGAAGCTATTTGGAATGTAGTCTGGGTAGAGTCCTGCAGATGTCAGAATGTCACCCTCTCGTAAAAGAATGAAAACGTCATCGGTCTCTTGATATAGCTACTCAATGAATAGGTAGAATGTCAACGAGACAAAGAGGAGAATGTACTCATTCACCATTGATCATCACAGCCAACTGCTAGGAAATATATATTTTGTTTTTGCTTACAAACGACCATTATTTTGAACCAACGGTCAGTCTACAGTCTATCAATGCTTCTTCACAGTGTTCGAACACACAGTTTGTCTTATTCTATTCAAAAAGAGCTGTCGTTTGTCGTACCTAAAATCGCACCGTACTTGACGTGAGGCAGTTTCTTAATGAGAAACCAACAATTAAAGGTATCAGGCTTACTCAGGGCGAATGGAAAATGAAGACATTTCATCCCTTCACAAATCAGGTCCATGAATGAATGAACAATGAATAAACGACATTGCCTGAATGATCTCAGTGAACAATTTAAATTTTATGATTAGTTTATGCTTATGAACAATGGACTGAAAGATGATGAAAAGAAGAAGAAAGTACTGGAGGTTTACTACGTTCATCAATGAAAAACTACATGTATAGCGTGAAGAGTTGTAGCAATGTTTACACGAATAAAATATTTTCATGCAATGATAGGAGAAATTGCTTGAACAGTTACGCGAAAGCAGAAGGAGCGGATAACGACACTATTAAAATATCACACCAATATGTTACATGACGATGGTGATGTCGATATAAGTGTATGTCATACATTGAAATATGCTTTGTTTTAAAGTTGAACAGTCATTAGCCATTATGTATGTATGCCACTACAAGGCCTATCCCCGTCCACCCAGTCATAACCGTGGACTGCCACTACAAGGCCTATCCCCGTCCACCCAGTCATAACCGTGGACTGCCACTACAAGGCCTATTCCCGTCCACCCAGTCATAACCGTGGTCTGTCACTACAAGGCCTATCCCCGTCCACCCAGTCATAAGGGTGGTCTGTCACTACAAGGCCTATCCCCGTCCACCCAGTCATAAGGGTGGTCTGCCACTACAAGGCCTATCCCCGTCCACCCAGTCATAAGGGTGGTCTGCCACTTCAAGGCCTATCCCCGTGCACCCAGTCATAAGGGTGGTCTGCCACTACAAGGCCTATTCCCCGTCCACCCAGTCATAAGGGTGGTCTGCCACTACAAGGCCTATCCCCGTCCACCCAGTCATAAGGGTGGTCTGCCACTACAAGGCCTATCCCCGTCCACCCAGTCATTAGGGTGGTCTGCCACTACAAGGCCTATTCCCCGTCCACCCAGTCTGCCTATAACGGTATATAAGCCTGGTTACTGTCATTCGTCAAAACCCATAGTGACAAGGTCACGCGTTGATCCTTGACGTATCATACAAACGGTTTATTCTCTCTGTTCTAGCCTATTCTTGGCATGGTAGTTCTAACAGACCAACTGTTTGGATGTGAATGCACAGTACATCTTTTCTTTTATACTCGTATCTTTGTTGGTTGGCATGCTGCACGTGTAGCAGCATTTCCACTGATCTGAATACTCCAGCATGTGCATTAAACAGTAAACTGTTCTGGTTGATTCTCAGCCATTTTGTAACACTATTTGGAGTTTGACCCATCGTGTCTAAATTTTAGTTTAGTTTGGTGACGTTTCCTTTGTTCGTTAGGTAAAAAGTTCATCAAAACTGTGTACATTTTATGTCCATCATCCACAATATCAGTAATTGAAAAGTACATTCCTCCAGCAGTTACTGAATGCGTCTCTGGAATAAACATTTGGTTTTATGTAACCTGCCCACATGCACCAGAAAAAGAAAGTCCCTTTTCCGGTTATCTAACTTGCATACATGTGGTAATTAGGGTATGATATAATGTTCAATAACTTTCATGGATAAGTGATAAAGTATTGCATTTATTACCTCGTGTAGACGTTGCGACGCCCAGGCGATTTGCTTCGCACCTTGATGTCGCCGGAAATGACGCCTCAGTACACCCACCAACGAGATACTAGAAAGATAAAACATATCCACAGCTATTTTAGGCTTCTGCTGAAGACATTCAGCTAAACTAAGTGAATAAAGGAGGCTATTTACGAGTTGACCATTAACATGGTCTCTTTTCAAAGATTAAAATATTTCAGTCCTGTCCCTGCTAAACGTGAGGAAAATAAGATCATAGACGTTTATCTACTCGTAGTGCATGGGACTGGTGATGACAGAGTAAGAATCCATGTCGGGGAGGGTCGAGGATTCTCTCCCACAGCACTCGGCCGTCGACCCACCACAGACCGCCGGCACTGAAAATCCATGACCGCCAATTTTCCAATATTTTGCTTATGAATATAAAGTCATGTAGTCTCACTGTGATTGGTGATGGAACACATATTTATTAAGGCATTAGGTTAGGTGCCATATATGTCAAAATGTGATGGAACCAACACAACAATAAATGCTTCTTTGCATGTGTATATTTCAAGGTCGATATTCAGGAGTTATCAGGGTTAAAAAACAAAGTTAACTGGAAGTTATAATACTAGATTTTTGTTAATTCAGATTGATAAGAATGGTGGGTAGATGTATCCCACAATATATGAGTAGGGGTTCATTTGAAATTACTAGGGTTTTACTAAGTTTATCTTTTCTTGTCACGGTGCTTAAGGCTAGTGTAACGCTTCACTCTCCGATGAGCCGAATCACAATTATCAAAAGTGTTTGGAGAGGGCGTAAAGTGGCAAAATAAATAAATAGACAGGCCGATTGCATTAAGGGGCACTGACATAGATAAACAACCTGATAGTTTAAGGGTTTATGAACACAAAGCAATAACAACCAAGCTGAATATTAAAGATTAAGTATTCAGCCATTAACTGTGGGACTCACACCCCTTGAGTTCTTCTAACAGGCTAATATACACAAGCTAGTAGCACTGATAGTACGTAGTCAGTTTAATTACTCAGGTTACTCTGGTCAACGACTCCGGTCTTTGAACGTACGTCGAAATGAATTTCGGGATTATATCCAAGAGTAATTGTAATATGAAGTTTATATACTAGAAGATCGATAAAGTGTTGCTATCGGTAGGCAATATACAGTTCATTTTTTATTGAGTTAGTTTATAATGACTTTAAACACGCCCATCTTCTATATCTGGCTACACTGAACGAGTTAATCACAGTATTTACCTGCCATATTATGTTGCCATTCTCAACAAGCAATATCTCCTGTTACCAAACATATTTCTAAATTTAGTTCGTAACTGCATATGTAATGTAAAATAACACTTTTATATCCCGGTTCGTATATTAACAACACTACTAACAACTTTGTAGGTTCCTTATATTGCAAGGTCTAGCTTGTACTTTTCTCTTTTATTTTGTTGTTTTTGTCCGTTCTGTAAGACAAGAAGTTTCCTCTTGTATCATGCGCAATACTTTTAAGCGCATGGGCAATTCTTTCCCTTGTTCTGCTGCATTGTTCTCAGTCCATTCTGATGATAGTTCCAAGCGCTTCAAAAGTTCCCCACCTCCTGTCCCTTGCGCAATCCTTATCTATTTACAGGCATGTTATTTTCATCTTGGAGTTGGCGAAAAACGTCTCATGGTACCTGTGTATGCTGATTTTTGTTCATTTATCTTCCCAGTTGATTGTGATCGCACGCACCATACAGAGCAAGCATAGACTGTCACCTTCTTTATGTTATTAAATAGTTGATGTATCAATGTCAGCAATATATGTACTGCATTAAAACTGCATAACTAACTGCTCTACTTTCCCGTAGCTCAGGACATATTCTAGTGTTGGTCCCATGGCTTGGGCACTTTTAAGCTAAATGTGTATGTAAGATATTATTGGCCTCCCTTCTTTTATATCGGCCTTAATATCCTTGAATCAAACTTTTGCAAAATGAAATTCAAATTTTGGTCAAAACCGCAAGGACAACTGTCATGTTCTTCACCTGTAGCTCAGGATGCATAACACACAGTGGGTCCCATTGCTTTGGCACATTTGAGCTCAAATGTGTATGTTTGTTTTCTGGCAGTGTGGGTTCGAATCCCGAACGGGACTCAACCAAAACAAGTAAGAGAATCTGTACTTTACGAAGAAAGTGTTATCCCAAATATAACATTTGTTACATTTGACCACTTTCTAAATGGTATTGTGTGTTCCTGACAAAATTAGTTCTAAAATGATGAGCAAAATGCACTGTACGATTCCGAAGTGTTCATGATAACTCAAAGGGACCACCCGACACCATCTGCAGCAAAGTGTGTAAAGGTTTACTGTCTTGGCCCAAAAAAGTTTCTCTTTGGTCTGTTCAAGATTTTCAGTAAAATGTTACCAAAATGTCAACAGATGAAAGTCTTGTCTTTATGAGCACTGTCTTATGAATCTCTATGTATTTGTCAGAGAGTGTTTGAAACAAGTTTTTGAAGATAAAAGGTCATACTGTCAAAGCGACCGACTCGGGACAACCATTGTCTGAATGAACATTTAATTCCAAAGGCTAATTACCTTTGCCATGGCATGTACAAGTCTTGAATCACTTGACGAACCATTATTTATGAGATGCTAATCCCAATTGTTATTCCCTGTTGTATTGTACATTGACTGTCTGCCATTCTGAACGAGCTGTGCAACTATGTCACTGATTAATAGAAAAGCAATACGGATATTTTTGGTCATAAAAGCAAAATTAGCGGACCAAGAGGTTCAAACTGAAGAGGTTTAATGTGTTATAGTATCAGTTTCCCGGATCAAAATTATCACAACAAGGACATGCAAACCATTAGTCGGAAAACACGTACGATTCGGAAAAAATCACCCATTGCATTAACAAAAGGGCCATGGAGCTGCACGTTCTGCACGTGCAGCAGCACTATGAAAGGTAATAAAGTGCAGGGTTTTTGATTGCCTGGCATCTGCGTCAATCGAGCAGGACAGTTCGAAAACATGCCAAGATTAACAGAAGTGCAAAGAAACAACGTCATAGGCCGCTTGCAGGCAGGACAATTCCGATCAGTTGTAGCAAAGGTTTTCAATGTAGCCCCTAACACTATCACAAGACTATGTGATCGGCCAAGGTCGGGACGACCAAGAGTAACCACCCCCGCCCAAGATCGCTACATCCGACTGCGCCACCTACGTGATAGGACAACCACAGCCACTTCAACCGCATGCCAAATACCCGGACTGCGCAGAATCCCCGACCAGACCGTACGAAACCAGTAGTATAGGTAATGATGGTTCTGGACCACTTCCACTGGAGCCAGATTTATATACCTATACCACCACTACAGAGGGAATTTTTTTATGTCAAAATGATGATGCGATTCAACGATCGTCATGATTCGTATTAAAAGAATCATCAATATTTATTAATAATGGATAAAATTTACAATAGTCCACGAGGATATTAGAAAGGTATAGGAGCAATACAAAAATTAGCCACCGTGGCTAAGGTATCTAAAGATATGGCCAAGGATTGGCTAAAGAAACAAGCGAAGTTTGATATTTTTACTAAGTTCTTCATTAATTTTACTAGGAGACCAGACTATATACTCTTTTTCGAGATTGGAAAGAAACAATTGATGACAGTATTTGATTGGTTTGACATTATTATAGACTTGTGTAAGCATTCGTTTAAATGTGATCCAACGATTGGAAACAATCTATTGTTAATCTCCAACCAGTTTGGTTTTGGCACGGAATAATTGACGCGCTTGTTGTCTCCCCTGTTCTATGAACTTCATTTTCTCATCTTCACTACTGATCTTATGAGAATTTGATCGAATCTCCTGCTTCATTGCGTTGTATTTGGTTAGTTCTGACAAAACTAAATGCAATATGATCCTCAATGCTGTTCAACTTTGCTTCGGCGAGTGTCCGAATATTATCATGTTTTAATGCTTTCTTTTGCAACTTACGAGAAATAAATTTTGTCGCTATTCCTGCCGGACGCTACTTCCATACCAAGTACGATAGGCGCGGCGATTATAGTTGATAATAAACCAACACCGGCTACACCAAGTCCCAAGCGCAGTGTCAACTCCTTCGAGAACATTCACGGCTCTGCGATACTTTTTGTACAATCCAAATCTAAACTCCCTCTCCTTCTCTATTTGATGTTTTATGTCGGTTATTTGATGTAATTTAAATCCATCAACAGTATCCATCTTTTCAGATGCATCATGGAGCACCGGATATAAACTCATAATGTATATTATTATATCATGTAATAGTGTTTAATTGATTTTGCTTAAATGTTTTGAGAGTATACATCAAACTTATTAAATGTATATTATGCGGTATACGTATCTTAGTAAGCGAAATGCTTCTACCTTTATTAACTTGGACCCCCTCAAGGGTTGCAATGGGTGATACTCCCACATAAATAATACTACGCTCGTGTTTCTTGAGCCATTTAATTGATAGACCTGGTAATATCTCAAAGGCATCTACCGATGCATCCCCAAACAAGACTTCAATAATAAGTGTAGAAGGATTAGGTATAGCACTCAAGTTCTGTTTTATATCATTGAATTCAGTAACCAAATTTAAACTAACATTTTTTACTGCCGGACGACTCAATAACATATGACCTTGGTTTTCTGATAGGATGGCGACTAACACACTTCTTCGTTTTCTGCGGATATACGCCCCGAGTACGATCCCACTATTCATTATCTTAGTTAATTGATGTCCCTAACCCATCATCACGTATGGTGGGGCAATGACGATATTCAGTAGCCATTCGATTTTTTCTTCGACCATAGTCCATTTATTATCATCGTTGCGAGTAAGATTGTATGAAGTGTTTTTATTAAGTCTACTAACTTCGACATCACTTAAATCTCCTAGATTACCTGTGAATACAACTTCTTTCTGCTTGTATACATTATCTTGTAAGTGTAAAGCGTATAACTAACCATCGGTCCTGGGTTTGCCGAATCCTTCTGTGTCCCCAAGATCGGAAAGCGCAATTGTATTACATTGTCTAAGGTTATTCGC